TGTATTTGTAGAAAAGAATTGGAAGGGTAGGGTCATATCCCCTCCTGGGGCAAAGAACAGACATGTTTACCAGCCAATATAGAGCTACCTACTAGGCCAGGCAGTAGTAGCGTATGCCTTTAATCGCAGCACTCAGGAGGCAGAGGCAGGAGGATCTTTGAGTTCATGGCCAGCCTGGTCTACAGTGAGTTCCAGGACACCCAGGGCTGTCTCAGAAAGAAAAAAAAAAAAAAAAGCTGCCCACCAGCTTCGCAAGATCCACAGTGTGCCCACTGTGGAGTCCAAGAGTCATGGAAAAGTAACACTAGCTGGTGCTTTTAATTTGTTTTTACTTTAGAGACAGGGCCTCATGTAGGCCAGGCTGGCCTCAAAATCCTATGGAACTGAGGACCTTGATCTTCTGCTCTTCCTGCCTCCACCTCCCCAGTGCTGGGATCATAGATAGGTGTGTGCCCCCGCACCCTGTTTTTGTTATTCTGGGGACCAGACCCAGAGTTTTGTATCTTTGAGGTAAGCACTCTGCCAACTGAGCAACATCTCCAGCTCATACTGTTCCCGTAAAGTAAATAAAGCTATGTGTCCTTCATCTCTTCCTGGAAGGGCTTGTCTTCTGGAAGCATCCAGGAAACAGGAATGAGCTAGATTATTAGTTTATAAGTAGAACAGACTCTGCGGGGCTGGGGAGTTCGTGACAATGACGGAGAGGTGAGCGCAATGGACAATGGAGACCAGAGACAGGAAAGGTCACCATGGAGACCAGAGACAGGAAAGGTCACCATGGAGACCAGAGACAGGAAAGGTCACCATGGAGACCAGAGACAGGAAAGGTCACCGCAAAGCAGAGAGAGGGCTGTGATTTCAGGTAGGGTCAGTGAGAAAGGCTCCTAAGCCAGACGGTGGTGGCCCATGCCTTTAATCTTAACACTAGGGAGGCAGAAGAAGGTGGATCTCTGAATTTGAGACCAGCTTAGTCTACAGAGCAAGATCCAGGACAGGCACCAAAACTACACAGAGAAACCCTGTCTCAGAAAAAAGAAAGAAAGAAAGAAAGAAAGAAAGAAAGAAAGAAAGAAAAGAGAAGAGAAGAAAAGAAAAGAAAAAAGAAAAAAAGAAAAGGCCTCTCTAGGGAATACTTAGGAAGAGAAGGATATAGCTGGGATTGGGGGCGGGGGGGGGGGGGGGCACCAAAACACGGATACACATTTCATGATGAAACCCATTATACATATAACTAATACGTGCTAATAAAAAAAATTTTTTTAAAAATGGGCCAGTGAGACGGCCTCCTGGGTAACTAACGGTGTTTGCTGCCGACTTTGACCATCATGCACCGTGGGGCAAAAGCACCAGATACCAGATGTTGTCCTCTGGTCTCCACTCACACACCATGGCACTCATGCCCATACAGACACACAAGGTAAGTAAGCAAAATGTCAAATAAACAGGTGAAAAGGAAAGTCCCCCACTGACTAACTGGTCATGGTGGCTCCTGCCTCTAATCCCCCAGTACTTGGAGAGGCTGAGGCAGAAGGATTGCCCAGAGTTGGAGGTTAGCTGGTAAAACCCTGTCTCAAAAACAAAAGAAAAGCCACAGGAAAGAGCAAGCCCCTGTGATAGGTTGAAACCGGAGCCGAGGCATGAATGGAGTGAGGAGACAAGCTCTGACTTATCTGGGATATTTCATCCAGAGGGAACAGAGGGAACCAAGTCCTGAACAAGGACGGCCAGCAGCTAGCATGCTGGTTCGACTATTCATTGAGGGGTGAAGAGCAGAAGATGAGGTCAGGGAAGCTGTCGGGAGCCAGGACGCCTGGGGATCATGCCAGATGTCTGCAGCATGCTGAGATGGGATTCATGGGCTGGTTTGGATCAAGGAAGTTGCATGTTCTGATTTTCTGCCTCAAAAGGACCCAGATACTATGTGGGGAATGGCTGGATGCCCTGGGAACCTTAGTGAGCGAGGGAGCTGGTGAGAAGGTCCAGGTACAGAAGACAGCAGCAGTCCTGGCTGATACTGAAGGGGTGGGGTGTGTCTTTAAAGCAGAACAGAGCCGGGCGTGGTGGCGCACACCTTTAACCTCAGCACTTGAGAGGCAGAGGCAGGCAGATCTCTGTGAGTTCAAGGCCAGCCTGATCTACAAAGAGAGTTCCAGGACAGCCAAGGCTATACAGAGAAACCCTGT